CTTTGACGAGATGGTTTGGAAGGCTTTCTTTTTAAATGATGTGGGTCAGAAGTAAAAATTAATGCCAACTTTCTTAAGAGCATGCACAACTTGGACAAAAGCAGCTTCCTGATCCGTCTTGCCAAATGCCTTTAATCAAGTATTCATTCATCCATATATACTGAAGCCTTCCTCCGTGCTAGGGATGATTCTGAGCTCTGAGAATGTAGCAGTGATCAAGACCAAGTTCTGACCTAATAAAGCTTTTGCTTTAGGGGAGAGGTAACAACTACTGAGTATTTACAATGTATCTGTTACCATTCTAAGCACTTCCAATGGATCAGTACATTTAATCATCACACTAATGATCACACTATGAGTTAGGAACTTTGACTATCTTCTTTTTTTTTGGTACCAGAGATCGAACTCAGGACCTTGCGCTTGCGAGGCAGGCGGAAGAACCACTGAGCTAAATCCCCAGCCCCTGACTATCTTCGTTTTAAAGATGAAAAGGCCAAACAAAACATAGACAACTTAAGTAACTTGCGCATTTAACCCTCTTTCGGGTTTCTTACTCTCTCCGTTATTTCCACACAAATAAAACTGTATTCTATAAGACCCTACTTTTATTCTTTTTCTCTCTCAGCCATCTTAAAAAATACACAAACAAAAAGCCAGTAAGACATGGTTTACAGAATGTAAAACAGCATGATTAAAAAGCATACTATTCATTAGATATGTGACCTGCAGTGTCTTACTTCATCTTCACATACTTTGGTTTCTTCCTTTGTAAGATAGAATAAAAGCAGACTACTGATAATTCATTAAGTTACTGAAAGGTTTAAATAAGTCTGTAATGTAAGGTACTTAAGCACGTAACTGACATAGACTAAGCACTCAACAAATGTTACCTACTGTGTTTAAGGACAATGTTTTTTTATCATTGAATGAATATGAAGACATATTTATTGGTTGCCTGCCAATATTTGCCAGCTATTTTCAGCATTACAGACCATAATTACTGAAAACATACTATTGAGAGTATAGATAATGAAAAAGAGGTATTATCTTTATAAATTAGAGGGAGAATATTTTTATTGCAAAGTCCTCTGCTTTCACACAGTCCCAGCATTTTCAGTTCAAGCTGACTGGCTTACTCTGGGTGTTTTCATTTTTCTTGGTATTGTACTGAAAGCCTGATATACTATTGCTTGGGAGATTTAAAAAACATTAGCATAATAGTTCTAAACTTGCTGTAGAAGAATTAGACAAGAGTTTTCACTGGAGGTACATCTCATCAGAAAAATCACATGACATGAAAAAGCCAACAGAAAGCTAAAGTGAATAGTGCTTGATATAATAATTTAAAGCTTTTGAAGAAACAGGTAAGTGCAAAAGCAGAGTGGGAAAATGGGGGGGGGGGAGATCCTAAATAACCATTCCTTAAAATAAAGCACACACCTTCACAGTAATGAAAACAAGCTACTGTTGCTTACTTCATTTTCACAAGGGCACTCCACAGCAGATGCAATAGTATGGTCACCTTGCACTGCCTTCTTCCTCCTGCTAGTGCACACTGTGCTGTCTACTTTACATACACTGACACATTCAGTTCTACTACAAGCCTGAGAAATCATTAACACCACGCTTTATGTAACTAAAGAAAGTGGCACAAAAAGCTAACATCTCAGATACTAGATGAACTGAATTTTCTTCTGTGGAAGAGCATAAGCCATGTGCACTACTAGATTCAGAGAGTAAGTAATAATCTATGAGTCTTTGTTTTCTAGTAATGCTCAACCATCTCATTAGCATGTACAGAACTATTTTACATGATAGCTTGCAGGCTGTCCAAATGGTTCAGATACTACCTCACCCTGCTCAGTGATCCTCTCCTCATAGTCTAAGTGTGTGCACTCTAAATAGTCCACTTCATCAACACAAAGTCAGAGTGCAAAGCTAAACAAATACTGAATTTCTAAATCTGTATGTCAAAAAGACATACGCATTCTTTTATCTCTTGTAGCACTACCCACAAAATCCAAGATATGGAATCAACCTAGTTTTTCATCAACAAATAATGAATAAAGAAAATGTGGTGGGGTTGGGGTGTAGTTCAGTGGTAGAGAACTTGCCTAGGACATGTGAGGCTGTGGCTTCAATCCTCAGCACAGCAAAAAATAAAAAATAATGTAGAAAGGTGGTATATGTGCACAATGGAGTATTATTAAGCAATAAACAAGAATAATATCTTGTAATTTACAGCAACAGAGATGAACTCGGAGGACATTGGGTTAAGTGAAATAAGTCAGTCAATAAGAAAGCTAAAGGGCCGAGGATTTAGCTCAGTGGTGCCACCACCTGCCTCGCAAGTGCAAGGTCCCGAGTTCGATCCCCGATCCCAAAAAAAAGCTAAATACCACAGGTTCTCATTCATATTCACACACAGAAATTAAAGGAGTTATCTCCTAGGGAACAGATTATCAAAGGGTGGGAAAAGGCTGGCAGAAAGAAAAAGATTGGCTACAGATTGATACAGAAACACCATCAAGAGAAAGTCCTATTCTATAGTACAGTAGGGTGATTTATATTTAATAACTGTATATTTCAAAATAGCTAGAAGAAATGATTTTGAATGTTCCCAAAACAAAGAATGATAAATGTCTGAAGTGATAGATAAGCTAATTACCTTGATTTGATCATTACACATTGCATACCTTGATTTGATACATTACATAGTATATCAAAATATCACAGTGTACTCCATAATATGTACAATTATTTTGTGTCAATTAAAACTTTTTTAAATACTGAATTCTTATATAAGTGGCCATAGTTAGAACAGGCATATTTTTATATGGCAAAAGATGAAAAGTAGACTTTTATATTATGAGGTTATCGAATAGAAACAACGTTTCATTTTTTTCTTTTTTTTGGAGCGGGGACAGGGTCTCACTATGTAGTTCAGACTGGCTTCAAACTCATGGCAACCCTCCTGCCTCAGTCGCCTGAGTGCTAGGATTACAAGTTGTCCACCACCGTGCCCGGCTCAGAAAAAATTGGTGATTTACCTACAATACAGCATAAACTATGACCTACACCATATATAAATGTATAATTAATATAAGTGGGAGAAAAGTTCCACTATAGATTTCCAAAGTTTTATTCTTACCATTTAACACAGGTGTCTAAATTCTTTGGTGTCATATTTACTAGTTCAGCTACTCAACCTTAAATCCAGGCTCCACGGCTCTGCTGCTTACTCACTGTTGCTCTGAGGAGATTACCTGTTGTAGCTTTGTTTTTCAATTATAAAATGAAGATAGTGTCATCTATTTGACAGGTCCATTATGAGAATTAAATGAGATAATATAGTCAAAGAGCTAAGTATGGTGCCTGGGATATGCTAACTGTTCACTGAAATGGTGGCTATTACTATTATGGCTTCTAGTTTTCTAACTATAATGCATATTGATAAATTACAATGTATATTATGGTATGTCATTGGAAAACTTACCCATGCATGTAGGTAGCTATGTGGTAACATGTACCAACTGGTTTAACCAAAGCTAGAAGAGACAGTGGCTTAAACTATAGGTCTCTTATGTTTCCTTCTTGCTAATGACAGACATCAAAACCACAGATGTCATGCTTTGTCCCCAAAAAATCGAATTCCTGGGAATCAGATTCCTTTTAAATCCCTAAAATCTTGTTTGGGGAAAGTTTTTATTCATGAGTTATAACAAATACTAAGCACTGTGAGATTCTGAATCAAGATAACCAAAGTAAAGAACTATTTTACCATCATTGGAAAAATCTGAAATCATATTGTATTCCTGGTTACAGTGAACTTGAAAATGCTGAAAATCAAGTTTAAAGCACACATTTTAATCTTATCCTAAATAATGGTACAGGGCTGTAGCCCATAAAAAAGTAAAAATATTTTATGTTTCATTATATAATGATATATATTTTAGATAAGTCAATGGATACTCTAATGAGAAAAGCAATGAATATTTTTCCTTTGTAGACCATTAATTTGGGTACTAATAACAAGTTAGGGTATGGACATGTAAAAAAACCTGACATTAAATTTGTCCAAAATTAAAATTCCACAGGTTAATAAACTGAGGAATAAAAAAAGATTATATTTCAAAATATAAAACAAAGATTGAGTTTTAAGAGATGCTTCTCTTAAATAAACTGGAAAATCTACAATGCTATTGAATGAGGACAATCTCTTGAAATATCAGGCTTCCTATAATTTACATGATATTGATAATTTTTTTCTAATGGAGATGTTGGGCATTAAAAGGAAAATAAAGCACACACCAAATTCTGTATTGTCCAATTAAATTTTTTAACCTTAAGGAAAAAAATGTCCACAAAAATACAGTTGTGAAAGAACAGAAGGATATCTACAACATTTGAAATGTTTCTGAAAATGTTTCTTTATTAAGTTTATTTTAAAGTGGCCTGAGTTTTTATGATTTGGTGTTTTGAGTTTAGTACATGAAATGACCCAGTTTACACATATTATAATGCTCAATGAAACTAAATGTTAAAGTGTAAAGTATTCTAATACAGTAAGGTTCTAGTTGTACTGAAATTAAATTACCATGAGAAAAATATCAGATATATTTTGAAATTAACATTAAGATTTGTCAGGTATCTCTCTTGATAATTTTATCTAAAGTCATTTATTTTAAAACAGAAAGAGCAACAGATAGAGACTAGCTTGAAGAGATAACAACCTAGGGTCTTATTGTCCTCTGCAGATAGGAAAGTATGTTCTTTTACTACTGCACTTTGCCATAAAACACATATTTTTTCTTTGTAACACACTTTCTTGGAATATTTTAATAGATTAGTTCTAGGCCTTAAACAAAAACATTTTTGTGTGAAATATATTACTACATGACAGAAAAAAAATGCAGAAAAATTTATTTGCATTGCCTTTAAATTATTCACAATACTTTTCTATATGTCTCAGTAGCAAACAATGTTATTTAGACTCTAACCTGGCATGCTACAACCTCTGGCCTGCCCTTGAGCCCCTCCATTGCAAAGGTCTCCAGGTGCAGTTTGGGCAGCTGCAGGGCGAAGTCATTCCTACTTGCTGCGCTCCGTGACAGCGAGATCTGATCTCTGACCTAAAGGGAAAAAAACAGCATCAATGGTAATTCCCCTTCAGACACATTAACTGGGATGAACTGGGTCCCCCTGAGCCCACTGAGTGGACTTGCATTGATCGCTGGACCTGAAATCCATGAATAAATTTAGGACTAATTGATTTTTCGTTGCAAATAAATCTCTAATTCAAGAGTGCTGGGGGAGAATGTTAAGAAGAAAAAGCATCTTCCTGCTCGAAATGAAGAAGGGAAGAAGAGTCACTGGTGCTGCTCTGATCAAGAGGGTTAGAATTTTTTTTCACAGTTCCACCCTGGAAAGAAAGAGGAAAGGAAGGGGGGGGGGGGGGGACTGACAAAATCAAAGGCAAACAGCAATCTAATTATTACCACTTTCTTAAAACATATTTAACTAATATTAACCAGCATACATTGAGTACAACAGTTATTAAGTACCAGTCATTGAAAGAAACTTGACTAATACGTAACCTGGAATAAAACCAAATACACTCAACACAAAAGGATTTTTAAAAATACACAAGTAAGAGGTTTGTTTATCCTTTTACTCTTCCAAATTAACAGATCTGTATTAAACTTGAGTCTTAATAATTAAATACGTGTAAACCAACTTAGTAACACAACTCCTAAATAAAATAACTGAGATAAAATCAGTAGTATTTGTACTATATTTTAGTATTCAGAAAGGTAACAATGTAAGCACATTACAGAAGGGGAGAAATACAGTATCAATTCTTTAGCCCGTATGAAATCAGAGGCCATTGGTATCACACTGCCACCTTCTGGACAATGAGAAAATAATCTCTAAAAATACAAATACAAGGGAATGCTCAGAAACAGGTATTTGGGGTATGAATTTCCAAACTTAGTAAGAGCCTTAAGAATTCCACAGTCTAGTCTGAATTTAAGTAAGCTCTAATTTTTAGTTTTACAATATAATTATAGGCTTTTTCACATATAAGGATGTTTTCTAACTTTTCTTATGCTTGACTGGGTTTTTTAAATTTAGTTTTTTGCTACCATATTTGACAAATATAGAACTAGCTTACAGCCACAAAATAGAGATTTTTTTAAAGTATGAAGCAAAGATCAAGAATGGGGAAAACTACAAAAATAATATTAATTGCTCAAATAAATGTATTTATATTTCTGAACAGTTTTATCTGAAGAGCTTCAAATGTAATTTAACAATATATTTTTAAACTCTCCGTTTTTCTATTATACTTGGGAAGCTTATGAAACAAGTATATTTTATTATATGAATGAATTACATATGAAAGATAGCTCACAAAACTATCATACTCTATAGGGTTTTCTTAAATCAGTAAACATGACATTTTGATTGTTTGTGCTAATCTATGGGCATAAGAATCTTTGTATTTCCTATGTTGATCTCAAGACTTTGTCAATTTATTGACAATTAATGGCTAAGTACACGACGATGCAATTTTTACAAGAGTGTGAGTACTTTATACATTGTAGAGTTCCAGTTCAAGATGTTTATTTATCTGGAACATTTTCCAGAGTCTTCACTCATGATGAGAATGCTGCCAAACTTACTTAAAAAAAAATATCATTTTTTACAAATATATGCACCATAGGTTTTATATTTTATATGTACGGATAATTTCTCTCTCACTTTTCTGTCACCAATTTATATTTATGGATTTCTCTCTTGTTTTTTTGTCACCAAAGTGCATTCAGATAAAAGAAAACATTAATGTGGATTAAGGTACTAAGAATTTATCAACATCGAACCACTAGTGTTTTGCCTTCTACCCTTCTGAACCATAGTCAATAGATCTAAATATTTTACTGCACCCTGGCCAATTCATTGTTTGATGTTTAAAAACTCACCCAGAATCAAAGAAAATTTATTAAATTTGGGCCCCCAAATGAGATACTATTAGCTTTGAAAGTCAAGTTTAACTGCGATATTGATGATTCTCTTTTTTCTGTGACGAAACTCACTAGGGGAATCCTGAATGTCAAAGTACAAAAGGAGATTGCTAATATGGCCAAAGAAGGAGAGAAAAAACCCTAAGCAGTGTAGGTGTAATCCACTGCACAGTTTGAGCTCAGGAGGTCACTTAACCTGATTAGTAGCAGGCATCAGACTTCACCCATGAAGTTTGACATACAGTAAGCCACGTTTGACATTCTCTAGGTAAACTTTATGAGCAATAGTAAGCTAAGGCATTTGGCACTTAAAATTATGATTTACTGTCATTTTAATATTTTCATAGCACATTAATTTGCCAAATTAAATTATTATCTACATTAGAAAAATCTTCAGAAGCATTTGTTTTGTGCTACACCTAATGATGTACATTGTAATTGTATTATCTGAATAATATGCATGTGCTAGAGGGGTTTTTGTTGATTGTTTTGAGATAAGGTTTCCCTGTTTTCCCAGGCTAACCTTGAACTCCTGGCCTCCAGCGATCTTACTGCCTCAGCCTCTCAAGTAACTAGGACTACAGGTACCACACTCAGTTTAATATACATATTTTAATATTCTCATTTCTTATAAATTATCTGTTTAATGTTGGCATTGCCATCAAGAGACAGTGACTCAAGATAAATAAATGTAATGTCAAATATTTCTACTAAAATTATGAGGTTTTTTTCCATTTTTTAATTAAGCTGAAACTTTGAAAGATAGCATCTAAAATGTTCTTCTGATATTTCTAGAAAAATTTTTGGAAAAGTCTGGATAAATATCACATGGTTTCTATTATATGAGAAATCCATAACTTCAATACTTAAAATAACTTTAAATAAGAGAAAAATGTAAGAGGGATAGTAGGAAATAAGGAGGTAGGCTTTTGGAGATAGGAAGGGAAAAGAAAAGGGAAAAGAGAGGTCTGTGTGGGAGGGGAGAAGGGAAAGTAAAAATGATCAAGATGTGATATGTACGGGTACCAATTCCCCAAGATGAATGTAATTACCACGTATCACAAATATACACCAACAGTGAGAAAATAAAATTTTAAAAAATCTTGAAATGGGATTGTCTAGTACTTTTTATTTTAATGAATAAAGGAGTAAAAGCATCATATTGAGAGAATACAAATAACTGACACTAGGATAAGCAAAAATGTAACAGTGCTGCAAAGAAGCAGGAAGGAAAGACAAGAAAGAGGGAAAGGCAAAGGTGAATCGAGAGGCTATTCAGAAAGAATGCAGAAGGCAATGTGAATTTTAGGGTGTGAAATTACTTATCCTATAATTAGGATTATATGCCTTTTTCACTCTTATTTATGTATAAATATCAGTAATAAAACATACATACAATGTTTTCTATTTTAAAATGCCTAGTAATCCATTCCTGACATATACTTATTTTTTCAAAGAACTTCACAATACAAATCTCAAGTATCAATTTTATAGTTCATAACATTCTATAATACTGTACAATTTTTAATATTTAAAAAAGCACAAAGAAAAAATAGATATATTACTTCTATTTTTAAATTTTGATTTTTAAAAAAGGCAGTTTACTTTTCCACTTTCTTATTGTTTAAAAAGCAGATCTTTCTAACAGTCATAGAAATGAATAATAAAAGTTCCTAAAGAATCAAAATAATATCGAAGTGGATTAAAGATCTGAATATTTAGACAGAAACACTAAACTTGCTGGAAGATAAGTTAGGTAGAACTCTTGAAGACATTGGCATAGGAAAAGACTTTATGAACAAATCCTCAGTA